CTCCTCCTCCCCCTCCCCCCCGTGGGAGGGAGCAGCCAGGGATTGGGCAGCAGACTTTGGGGACACCACACTGCCAGGGCACGACTGTTTCCCAAGGCCTGGCCACACTGACACTGGCTGAAGGAGCCAAGTGAAGTGACCTCTGGGTTGTCTAGGCAATGCCACTTGTCCCTGCAGCCTCCTGAAGGCACAGTGGGCATCAGAATGGGTAGAATCCCCCCGACAGAAACAGCCTGTTCAAAGACCCCACACTTTGGGGCCAGGAATTTCCACGTCCCTTCAGGGCTGGTGCTGCCTGACATTACCCTGGGGCTGCAGGTAGGGTGGGGCTGGAAACTCCCAGACAAAAATGGTTGATTTGCATGGTCTCCTTTGACAGGAGGTTGGGGGAAGTGGGGAGAGCTGCTAGGAACCTGGGTGAGGGGAAGCACCCCCCACCAGCCTGGAAGTTCCCACATAGAGGGTACCAGAGCAATACCTTGGTCCTTAAGCAGATTTCCTGCTGGGCTATGAATCCTTGACCTCCCCACCAGCTGAGTCACCACCTCCGGAAGAGGAAATGACCTGGGTGGTAGAGAAGAGCCTCTAGGGACCAAGGAGTCCTGACACCTAGGGGAAAGGGGACTCAGGACCTCGTTGTCTTGGGGGCTGTATCTCCCTGAGCCAGAAGTCAGTGATCCCATCCCTGTTCCTCTCAGCAGAGTCCTGTCCTTTCAGCCATCACAGTGGGCCCATTTCCTCTCTAGAGGTGTCTGCCCGCTGCATGTGGGAGCATGGACCCTGCAAGCAGTTTTCTCACAGCCTCTTCTGAGTGATTTTGAGCTGGGCAATGAGATTGGTGGGCCAGCTGGAAAACTAAGCAGAGGTTCTCGGGTGGGGGCAGCTGGAAATAGGCAGATTGCCACAGGTGTGTGAATGCCTTCTGTACCGGTGGCAGTTCTGTGTTGAGCAAGTAACTGGAGGCCCTGGGCATCCATGGAAGCTTTCCTGGTCTCCCACCCCAGCCAGGGTTAGGCCCTGCTTCCCCCCTTCGCCCCCACTCCCCAGTTGCACTGGGAGGGCAAAAGATCTCTGGGCTCTTTGTCTCAGCAGCCTCCTGGGCTTTATTCTCATGGGTATGCTCTTGGCCTTTCACTCAGGTAACTCACACCTGCTTCCTGTTTGTGAGCACACGTCTCCACTCCCCACCCTGCCTCCTAAGAGGGAGCCACAGCAATGTGTTCCCAGAGCCCCATCCCTTTCCTTTCACTCATCTCAGGGGCTCCTGGCCTGGTGCTGGGAAGCCCCCTTCCCTCATTTTTAAAAACTGCACCCACCAGGAACCAGCCCTCCAGCTTTCCATCCCCTGAGGCCTTCTTGGGGACAGTATATAAAAAGGAGGGGTCTCTGGGAGCTGGGCAGACTCCTGAGGGGTGAAGTGGGGGAGGTGTAAGATGGGAAAGTCCTGACTCATCTGTGCTTGACTCAGCTAGCCCTCCTGCTGGGTGGGAGCAGGGCGGTGGAGTTCTAGAGGAGAAGGCAACTCCAGGAATCTTCTGGGGTGGAGACTTGGCCAACTGGGAGACACTGGAGAGGACTAATTTTCTAACTGCTCCTTCCCAAATTATTACAGGTCCCAATATTTGAAGCTGTAAACCATAGGAGGTAGTGGTAGCCCTTGCCCTGCCCCTCCTCCCATAAGGGGCTGAGACCAGTGCCTCGCATGTGGGAAGCTCACCTACCTAGTGCAGGCTCACAGGAGCAGTCATGACTCAGAGAGGGAACACTGCAGTGTAGGGGTAACACCGCTGTGACAGGGTCTTGGTTCTGGCCGGCACTGGTCACATGACCCAGGGGCACGTCTCTTCCTTTTCCCAGATCTCAATTTCCTCATTATGAAATGGCGAGAATAAAACTACCTATCTCCCGGGTAGGTGGTTAAGTAGTTTTGAGGACCATCAAGGTGGTGAAGGTGGAAGCCTGAGACCCATGTCAGCCATAGGCCTGCCATTTAGCCCAGTGCTGCCTCCAGCCCTTTCCTGCCTTGGCTCTAACCCCTGTGATGCAGGAGATGGGGGCTGGCAGCAGGCTACTTCCCAGCCAGGCCCTGGACTTTGAAACCTTCCACTGAGGCGCCTCCCTCCCGTGAGACTGAGCTGGAGCGGGGAAGGCCGGTGTGCTCCGGGGGTTAAGTTAGGGTTAGACTCTCACAGGTTCACAGGTGGAGTCCCCTCACCCAGAGGTCCCAGCCCTGCCTCTGGCGACCTGGCAGAGTGCAGCTGTAGGGTGCGCCGGTGTTTGGCTGGACCTGCCACCTGGACAAAACTCCAGGACCAAGACTCCTCCCCTCCCCTCCCCTCCCCTGTCCCTTACCGGGATTGCCTGGGGGTGGCAGGGCAGGGGGCGGTAGGGTGAGGCTTCTGTGTTTGTGTAAGTCTATTTGTTGGTGGTGTATCTATGGCCCCGTGTGTGTGTTTCTCTGTAACTACCCGGCTCAACTTTCTATGGCTCCCTTGTGGCCGGGCCTCAGTCTTTTTATCTGTTCAATGAGTCGGCGCGTGCGCTCGATCTCTGCCCTCAGGCAGCCTCGGCGTCCGCGGGCCGGAGGCTGTTTTGCTGGCTCCTTCTTGGGCCGGCGCCTCCCGCGTCCTCCAGCACACCTCCGCGGGGTCTGCGTGGGTGCGCCTCTAGCTTCCTGGGCTCCGTGCGTGTCTTTGTCTCCCGGTCCACGTGTGAGCTGTGAGTGTGTGAGTCAGAGTTCGGGTGCTGGTGGCTCACGGAGCTCCTGCCTGGCGGCGCCTGGCGCTGAGCTGAACCTGGGCCCTGCCGCGGCGCGCCCAGCCCTCGCGGCTCTGGGCCGTGTGTCTGTCCGTGTGGCGCGTGCGGGGCCTGGAGGGGCGCTGCAATTCTGTCTGCCTCCCGCTCCCTGGCCTGCTGGCTCGCTCGCTTTGCCTCTGCTTCGGCTCTGCTGAA